CTGCTGCTGCTGCTGCTGCTGAGACTTTGGGCCGGGGAGCAGCTGCTGCCTCCCCGGGAATTTTCCAGTTCCCGGGCCAGGTTGTGAAAGTCTGTGGATGGCTTTGCGCTGCTGCCGCCGGCAGCGGCGGGTGGGTTGCTGCTGTCCGGAGAGGGGGCCGGGTAATGATGGATGGGGCCAGCCTTGCAGAATTTGGGCCCCGGACCCAATGGCGTCTCCTGTTGCTGCTGCTGGTGGTGGTCTTTACCGCCTCCTCCGCCCCCGTGGTCTTTGGTGCCCACACCGCCGCTTTGTTCGTCGTGGGGACTCAGATCAGCGCTGTGAAGTCTCTTGGGGCAGCGGAAACGCAGATGCGCTACGTAGGGGAACTCAAACTGGAAACGTTGGCTGCATTCCAGGCATGTGTAAGGGGACGACCCTGCTTAGTGAGCAAACACCACACACGCACAGCACATGATTACTCAGCATCTCTCGCAGGCCACTTTGCCATCATCCCCTTCACAAATCCACTTTTCTCTTTCAGGGTCTGAGTGCCCGAGAAAAAGAATACACCATCTAACTTTGCCTCCTGATTTGGGGGAGTACAGTAATCAAACACTTGTGCCCCTACCTATCCTCGCCTGTCTGTCCCAGTTTCATTCTGTACTACCCTTCAGAAGCTCCCAGTAAGAGTCGCAAAGGTAGAAAGGGCGCACCAAGGCGCCCAGATGAGACCCCACTGTTCCCAGCACCTCTCCCCAGCTAGCGAGGGGCCCTCATGCAGGTCGCAAAACCAACCTACCATTCATTTTGTTGTGGGATCTAGAGGGGCAGAGTAAGAGTAACTCAGTCAGTTCTTTCCCGTACCAAACTAGTAATTCCTCATCTTTGGCAATCCTGCGGAGAGAGCGGTAAAACAGCTGTCCGTTTTTGATATAGGCTTCAAGGTTCTGTTCTTCTTTATCTCTGGCTGATTGGACCAGCCGCAGCCACATGAGACCTTCTGAGGAACCATTTGCCGCTGAAGTGTCTACCTACAGTTCAAAATAGAAGAAAGAAGACAAGAGGGAGGGGAGAAGGATACCCAGTAAGAGAAAGAAACCAGAGAAACTAGGATAATTTCCTATGTCTTTTCCAAAGAATTATCTGAGACCAAGCTTCCAAAACTTGACTAAGTTGGAATACATGCCTATGTTTTTAACCAGTAGACAGAAAAACCATCCTTTGAAATTTTACATCAATCATATAGATTATTTAAGTGATCATTTCCACATATTGGTTGAATACTAGATGAGGAAATTCCTTTTTACAATATGAATTAGTGTTCCTCTCTTCAGAATTTATTTCCAAATTATCTTACATTCCTAAAGTCTGGAGAATTTTGTTTGGGGAAGTAAAAGGCAAACTTAGATTTTAGAAGTTATTCTGTGGCACTCATCTTCCTAATTTTGGCATGGACAATTAATGGCTTTTCTTTGTAAAGGAAGAATAGGAAGTGAGAGGCCTGATCAAATTGAAACATATGGACTGATGCTGTGCTGTCAAAACAATTAACATTTTTTACCTAAATACAAACTCTGGTCACTAGCTAATGTTATCAAAAGAAAGTAATACTTAAGAGATGGGGAGGCCTCCTAGGTTGGAAAGTAAAAGTACTCACAGAAAGTACTTAGTATGCAAATAGCTTCAGTCCCAGTGAAATCTCCCAGAGAGTTTAGGAAGTCACATTCATCAAGAGGAAAACCCAGAACTGAGATACTGATTCAGACATTTCTAGCATTCCCTATCAAATTTTGTCATGTATTCCAGAAAAGCAGTTGACAACAATTTGAGTTTAATTTTTCTTCTCTAATTTTAGGTGTATAAACCAATATTGCTTGCATTATTGCATTTTCTACATTTAAAACCTGTCCCTACTTGTCATTAAAATGATTCTTAGTCCATTTTCAATAGGACTTTATCCTCATACACCTACACAACAGCAATGGAGACTTACCCGAAAGATATAAGGTACTGTTCTCTTATCAGTGGACTTGAGAGCTATGAAAGCTATGCTGTCATACAGGGAAGTATGGCTCAGAACACAGGGACCGAATATAGCATTCTCAGGGATGTCACAGGTTGTGTAAACGCTGGTAAAAATATCTGTCAGACATTGTTGGACAGCCTTGGCATCTCCATCCCAGATGCCCCGCTGGATGCCTGAATCCTCCATCACTAGAGAAAGATACACAAGATAGGGAAGTGCGTTACATTATTGCTTTTCCTGCTATGAACCCAGGCAGAACACTTCCACTACTAGACAGATTTTTCTTGTACTTGCCTGATTTTTTTTCCTAGCTCATATGTTTAAAATAAAGCAGATTAATCTGGCATATATAAAAGATGCCAACTAAGAAGTAGTTTCCTCTTCTTCTTCTTCTTAAATTTAATAATCAGAATGATAGGAGATCCAGAAAAGAAAAGAAAGAGCTAGGAAAGACTAGATCATTTATTTGTGCAGTACTTTGGCAATAGATGGAGTTTGGGGTGAAGATAAGGAAAGAAAAACATTTTTAAAAACCAACCTATATCAAATTTCTTAAGTGAAAGAAACTTAACCCTTGAAGAAAAGATCTTATCTTTCTATATATTGAACTGAGTGTCTAAGAGCTGGTTTTTTCCTTTTCTTCCAAAGAGGGAAGCAGCATTAGCAAGCAGGCGGAGACAGCGGAGCATGGCGAATGGATTTCAAGTGGAGTGTCAGGGCCACTAATTCCGTGTCAGCTAACCTTTCTCTGCAGCCTACAAGAAGGGACGTATGTCTGCTCATTACCATAATCCAACACTGTCCCTCCGAGGCTTTAATTAAAAGCAGCAAGCAGAGGTAATTATTTTTTTCTCGACATGCTTATTTATGGATGAGGGTGAATCCCAGTTACCTTGTTATACAAGAGGGTGTATTGAGTTTCCTGTGGCCCATGAAGTGAGGAGGTACAGGGCAAGTCTGAGGTGTCCCCTGTCTGAAATACCGTGTGTAATGACTGGTGAATTCTTTTTTCCCCAGATACAACCCTGTTTGGGCAAGAGGGGGCAGCCCTGCTTGAATAGTCCTTAGTGGGCTCTCCAGCTGTTTAATCCGCAGCAGTTTAGAAAGTAAAGCCCCAATGGAAGGTTCTCTATTAAGCTGTCATAAAGGGACATTTCCCTTCCTCTGTCACTGGACACCCGCTACAAGGCTTATCACTTAAAAGAAAAAAAAAAACTCCAGATATTTAAAAATTTTAGACTAATTCTGAAGTAGCTGCATTGTTTGCTTTATGACTAATCAAAATATTTCTCCAAGTTGGTTTTCTCCTAATCTAAAGGTAGTTTTTCCCCACCCTTGGCAATGATCTGTTTATATTTTGTATAATTTAAGTAGCGGGAAAGAGTAGACCTCATTCTTTTCCTGCAAAGCTATACATTAGGTAATAATATTAGCAAAGTCTAGTTTTATCTTAATGTCTATTAACCAATTAGTCTTTCAAATGTGATGACAAAATAGTGTCTTTTTCATCGTCTTCCTTTTCAGCTAGCGGAGCCTAAAACTTTGGTCAGCCTTTTCCCGTATTCCCCAAATGGTAAGTGCTGGTCTGTATCTACCAGACAGCAGAAATAAAGAAAATACCCATAAAGTACAAATTTTATTGTGCTACACAATTTATCCCCGTGCATTTTTAAGCCCACACGAGGTAGCCTTCCTCATGTCCAATTGCAAATTAAAATGCATTTTTTAAAAAAAGGACTTATCATCTTTTGAAGCGAATCCTATTTTCCCTTTCTCAATTTCCTCTAGTTTAGCATTTTATGTTTTAATTTTTCTCTTCTTTTAAAAGTCTCTTTCACACAAGCATTTCATTGTGCCTGGAGGTCGCCCGCCACTTCGGGCAACAGAAGGGACGCAGTCATTAAAATGCAGTTCTACCTAACAATACGGTGAAAAGGTCCTCGCTATGCCGCGCTAATAGCCGTCAGCTTAGCCACCGCAGCCGCCACGAGCCTCAAGCCGGTCACAATAACCCGTGGGCAAGAGCCTGGGCTCGCTAACCCGTGCGCAGTCGCCTTTGCGACCCAACCTTTCACAGCTCTGCGTCCTGCTCTAGGCCCAGGGTTCTCATCCACCAGGGGGATCCTCCCCAGAGCCGACAGGACTAGCTGAAAGCTGGTCGCTGCTGCCGGTCGCTCGCCCTCCCCTCTAGGCAGGCATTGTCTGGCTGCCGCGCTCTGCCCAGTCCCTTGCTTCTCGGGCAAAGTGCTCCCCAACAGCTCCTCCCTTTGTATAATCTTATTGGCAGTAGAGATCCCCTTAATAAATCATTTTCCCCTGCTCTTCTAGAAAACCAGGAGAAGAGGACAAAAATTTCCACTCTTCCCACCAAACCTGCCTTCTCCCATCCCCCTCCCACATCAATGCAAATAGACTTACCAGGAATAAGGTCAGAATCTAATCGCCCAAATAAGGCCACCTGGACCGGGAAGATGCAATCGAGTGTTTCTTTTTGCCTATTGTATCAGTGTATTTCCATGTCAAGAGGTGTTGGTGTTGCTGTCTTGTAGGCTCTTCCTAAAGAGAGGAGAGATGGAGAGATGGGGAGAGAAAGATGAGGGGAGGGTAAGAGGAGAGAGAGAGAGAGAGAGAGAGAGAGAGAGAGAGAGAGAGAAACGGAGAGAGTTGTACAGATGGACCCGATGCAGTGACTGACTGGCACGCAGACACACACTTTTTGTTTGCTGCACATAATCTGCCCAATGACGCGTGACAGCCCACGTCCCCTCCCTTTAACTCTTTGCTGGGCTGGGCGCTCCCTCCGGCGCCGCCTGCCTGGAAGCCTTCTCCCCGGCCTGCTGGAAGCCTTCTCCCGAGTCTGCCCCTTGCCTCAAGAATCCAGAGCACCTTCCCGAGTGGCAACGCTTCTTCAAGAGCGGCGGGTCCAACTCTACCTAAAAGCTTGGGCCCTCTGATACTGCTAGGAGGGGGAAATCAGTTTCAGGATCGGAAAGAAAGGTATCCAAAAGACTGTAGACGGGCTTTTTCCGTTTTGCTGGGAGTTTGGAGGACCTAGGTCAGAGAGCTGGACATGGTAGCATGTGCGTGGACCCTGCGCATGTATTTCCAGAGTTTGAGTTCTGTGGACCAGGGAGGGTTGTGGGATTATTCAGGAGGGATTCTGGGCCACTGAGCTGCCGCTGATTTGCGAAACTATTGCCTGGGGGGGGTGATAAAATGGGGTGGGGTGGGGTGGGAGCTGTCTTTACAAGTGCTCACACTACTAATTCCTCCCCTGCAAAATTGGAAAGGGCCGTACTTGGGTGAAAACTTGGCTTAAGCTTCCCGTGGCCCAGGAGATGGGTAAGGGGATAAAGTGGGGATGTCGCCAGACCTCCAAAGGGTACTTATACTGGTCTTCGGGTCCCAGTACACTGGTACCTGGGCAGGGACGGAAGGACATTCACGGGAAGAGCCCAAGTTACCGGACAAGATGTTTCTGCATTTACACCCTCTGTGTTATGGGTTCTGAGTAGTCCGGGGGGGGGGGTCCCATAATGGGAGTAGCCAGTACTGTAAGACGTCGGTGTGGGAATGATTTAGAGTAAAAATTATTACCGAGATGAACTCCAAAGAGCTTTTTCACGTCCAGTCGGTGATGGAGGAGTGGATGGAGTTGCCCAGGCCGTCTCCGGAGCCTCGTTTGTGCTCTAAGCTACTTAGAGGCTCCGACTTACCCTTTAGTGCAGCAGCTGATGCTAATGACTTGAGGTCTTTAACAGCCTGAAAGTTGACAATTTCGCAGGGGCCTTCGGGGCTCCTTTTCACTGTTCAGCTCTCTACTCCTAAGGGAAGAAAGACCTTTGGGTGGTATAGCTGATCCCTCAATTCCCACCCACACTATCACTATGTTGAAGTGGGCAATCTGTCAGCTTTAGGATAAATCGGATTGTGTAGCCGGCTAAAGGGCAAGAGGCAGAACCACGATTTGAAGAGGAGACAATCTCGGTCAGGCTCCCACCCCTGGGGTTGAAATAAGGTGTGTATAATAGGGGTTGGCAAAAAGCCTCTTACTGTGTTAGTTGGATCCATTCACAGCTCTGAGACCTCTCCCTATAACCCAGGGGTCAACAAGGCACTGAATGTCTTTCCTTGCAGGCGCCTGCCCTCCATGGAGGCAGGAGATGGAAGGATCTTGCAAAGCAGAAGTGAAGTGTAGGGTAATTTCCCAATGAGTTCATTTCCATAGGGTCTCTTCTCCCAGTTTATCTTACCTGGTCAGCACCCCACACAAGTTTGCAGTCCTTCAGATCAGACAGAGCCTCTACCTAGATTAAGGTGGGACCCAATAAGGAAAGGGCTACAAAATTCTCCATATATGGGAGAAAGGGCAGAATTTTCCCTTCACTTGCAGGTTAGCTACTGATTGTTCAAAGAAAGCTTCTTGAACTGCAGGGGTTTGTTTTTTTCATCTTAAGGTGTCATTTCTCTTATGCAAATATATGCAGTTTTAAGTAGTTTGGCTGAGTGACCCCTAATAACAGAGACTCAGTACAATGAAGGCTAGCATGTCTGCATATGAAAATCTGCAGGTGTATTTAGTTATCTTGATGGCTGCTCCATCATGTCTCATATTCAACTGTCCTCTCCCCATCCCAATCATTTCTTTAAAGGACCGGTGGGAGAGTTACAAATGTTGAAAAGATTGCTTCAAACATCTGGGGAAAAAACACTCAAGACAGAAGAATAGTGGCAAGATTCTTAAGTGAAATGAGAGAAGAGAAGGAAAAGAAAGAACAGGAGAAAAAGGACAGCAAGTTAAGACTCAAAAGTAGCCAAAACAGAAGTGCAGTCCTGCAGAAATCACAGCAAGATACAGCGTGTACTGGGGTGGTGTGAGGGTGGTGTTCAGGGATTTAATTCCATTAATCTGAGGAATAGAACACTTCTTTGTGCCTGTTTTAGATATTCTTTAGAAAACACACAGTTTGTCTTTTCCAGAAAAAAGTCATCTGTCCATGCAAGCCACTTTTGTAATCCTATCACACACAGTAAATGTAAAAGCATCCACTCCAGAAGATGGGCATTTAGAAGCTCTAAATGGAAGACATTTTTCTTGTGCCTTGCTTTTTTTCTTAAGTATAGAGAATTTCTCCTTTCTCCTTTCTACTATGTCTCTTTTACATATGAGACCTTGTCTCCAGTTTGTATAATACAAAGTGTTTCTGGTACTTAAAATGGGGGTGGGTAAACTTGACCTTTAAATCTCAAGCTAGAAAAGGACTACAATTGTATACATCAGAGAAAGGAGAGGTTTATTGAGAATCTGGCCTTCAGATGTTTCATCTAAGTTTCTTTTTCTTTTTCTCTTTCTTTCTTTCTTTCTTTTTAAAAAATTTTTTTTTTGCCTAAATTAGATTCCTTCTCCTGCTTTTTTAAAAAATCCTCCCATTATATGGATCCAACCAACTCTTTGTTTTATGGACCAAATGACTAACTTAACAACAGCAATAAAAATCAAATATGGGTAAGAAATTCATGCTTGGAGAGTTTTCCAGTATTTTAAGTAGTACACATTTTACATGGTAATATAAATGGTGTAAATGACAATCATTAATAGTAGATTTAAAAAATCACAAATTATTTTTATTTCTCTAGAACTTCACAGGTTAGAACAGGTTAGAATGGTGCAAAAACTACTTTGAAATCACTTACTAGAATACAGTGATACTAAATGAAGGGTTGAGGAATTTATTCAGTCTCAGACAGTACTATAAAAATATACCTCAGTCAATAGTTTTATGTAATTGACACGGAATGATGGGTTTATGCATACATTTGGAGCTCTTTTCCCTGGGATTTTATTTCCAATTAAGTGGTTAGAAGAATGACAATGAAGAGTATGCTCACCTTATTCTGCTTTAGCAAGACTTCTTGTAATCATGGAAAAAATACACATGTAGACAACTGCAGTGTTGTTGGGAAGAGAAGTCTGGAGAGAAGTTGATGAATGATTCTGAAGTGGTGCCTTTTATGACCTAAGTGAGAGGGTGGAGAATGAGTGAGAAAGGAAATCTGATTCTCAGTGAATATCAGAAGAAGAATGCTCTTTCTCTTCCAGGGTCCAGAAAATATCTTAATTTCTGTAATAGGAAACAAGTAAAAATAACCCTGCAAATAATCTTACTTTGAAGATTATCCTATAAGAATGAAAACACATTGTTTTCCTATTCCAGGTCCCAGTTCATCCCTTCTAATTATTTTTCCAAAGCAATACACCAGCAAAGGTTTGCTTGTCAAAAGTGTGGCAATTCATAGCGAAAAGAAAATTGCACTTGAAGACAAGAGGATGCCAATGAAGCAGATGAAGCAGACGGTGGCAGCTCTTCCCTAAGTTTATTAATTTCCCACAGAGAGGTCTGTGCATGGGGCTATTGGGAGTTGTGGGAGACAGAGAATGGAACTTCATGGAGAAGTATTGCATTACCTAACCCTGACATCCAGAATAAGGAACTTTCTAAGAGATAAACTTGACTGATTACTTGTACATGAAGGAGAAACAGAAATAATGGTTTGGTGGGTAGGGAAAAACCACCAGTCTTGTACCAAAAGTGTTGTTCAGAGGATTGTTAACTCATTTCTTTTGCCTTTTGTCAGGAGAATGATAACTGGGAGTTTAAGAAGGGAAAGTGAGAAGCTGGGGATATAGCTTGCCTTGCATGCACAAGGCCTTGGGTTCAATCCCCAGCACCACACACACACACACACACACACACACAAAAAAAAAAGATAGAGGGAGGGAGTATCTTAATCTGACTATTTCTTTATTATATCTTGATGAGTAAAGAAGATCTGCTGCTGAACTGCAGAAGGGTTTATAGGGAATGAGGGGGGCACCCTGTATTTTTATAAGTATACATGACCAGCTCTGTTTAGGTCTGGTCATTACACCAAGTATTTGGGTTGGTTCACTGGGTGATAAATGAGTAAATGTTACCCAGGCTGGTCCTGAGAAAGCCAGAGACTCAGGAGTGGATAATTCTGTAGCCTTGAAGAAGGTCTTCAATTCTGACTGTAGAAATCATGATTCTGGATTCACTTTTGTCTGCTTCTCAATAAACACTACTGTTTTAATGCTGATGATGATACCACTAGTATTATCATCATGATTAAAAATCTCCCTTTCTCAAGTTTAAAATCTTTCTCTGTGAGGAATGATAATTCCATTTACACTTCTTTTGGAGTTCATCATTGAAAGTTTTGTGTTGCCCTCTCCTGTTAACCTCTACTGGATCTGACCTGTAGTCAACTGGCTCAATGGCTTCAGTGTATGACTTTCAGGAGAGCTAACAAATTAAAGTGATCTACCACAGATCTGAAATCAATGCCTCATGCTCATCTATGTGTGATTTCTGAACCAAATCAAATATCCTGATCTGCTAGAGTATCCTAGCTTTTATGCCCCTCCCTAAGATAAATGTCTAGAGATATAGCAAGGAACAGCTGGTTTTCTGTCAGTCTCACACATTCAAAAACTCTTCTCAGACTCAGACACCACAGACATTGAGCAGATCTCAGAATAGGGTTATGGGGAGGAAATAGAGCCAAGTCATAGTCTCATAGTCGGTCAGTCAGTCAGTCAATCAGTCACATCAAGCCTCCTCACTCTCTGGTCCAGGTTTTCCATACAAAGGAATCCTGGGGGTGTCTAGAAGTATCAAATGAGATTTTCGAGAAGACTGACCATAGGCCTTGGGAATGACACCAACATGAGAGGCTATACATTAAATTTCTTCACTCAACCAGGAAGAAAGAACATTATCCCCAAATTCAGCACTTGAGTTTCATCCCTTTTCTTCTCCAATTTAGGTTTGGCATAATTCCTGAGTTAATAAGAGAGGCACTGATTTATAGGCAGTGTGTACTTCCTGGGCAGACTCTTCCCTAGCATATATTCCAACTGACCTTCTGAATTGTGCACTTTGACTGTGAGAAATCAGGTTGCTGGCAATGAGGGGGCAGAAAGCTTTGCTCTCCTGGGGAAGGGGTCTAGGCAAAGGGAACACATGCTCAGGCTTGGATATACCCATGGCGTACTTCCCTGAGACCTGAGGAGACAGAAAGTGATATGAACTAGTAACCACAACTATGATAATTTACATTGCTTTGTAAATATCCAGACACCCAAATTGCTTCCTTGTTTATAATGCCAATTAATCTATTTGAATGAAGACCATCTTTCATAATTTCAATTCAAATGAATTGTGGGTATTTCATAAGTTAGCATCAGTAGAGAATCTCTCCCTAAACATTATATAGAAAGCCTACTGCTTTCATCAGATTTTTCAAAAGCACTTAAAATTACCAGTGTGAGTCTTTTTTCATTGCTAATACTTGGATAAGTAATCTTCTAAAGAATTCAAAGATCAACTTGTTACAAACAATAGTAAGTAACATTATAAAGTCTATAAACAATACTGGATATACATCACCAAGGGGAGGAACTAATTGACAGGAAGGATCAAAACTTATATTTGTTCTCTTGAACTTGAGTGAAAAGCTACTTACCACACTGTTGTATATAATATAATATATAATAACATAACTAAGATATCATTCATAATCTCTAATATTTTAAGAAAAACCTATGATTTAAAAATGAATACTATCTAGAATTTCCAAATAAATCCTTCATAAATTCCTAAGAATAAACACACTAAATATAGTGACCAGGATATTGATATTTTCTAGGCCTAGAACTCAATTTAAATACAAACAGCATTGTACTTGAGAAGATACAGTCTTGTGTGTTCTCATGAGCACGTCCGTGACATCTAGAGGTAAATATTGTCAAAGGTAGTCCTAAAGAAAAAGAAATTTCAAGACTGTAATTTTCCTTGGCTGCATGTTCAAAAAGTAGCTAGTGCTCCTGTTTTCATGTGAGATGGTTTTGAGAAACTAGTTTGTGGGAAGTAACATGGTAGAGCAATGGGTCCTGGAAAGACAAGTGGATAGAGTATAAAGAATATATTGAGTATAATTTTACTGTCTAACACCTTATGTGTATATGAACAGATGCCCCTCAAGCATAATATAGAGTTTACCTAGGCCCTAGGAAATTAATCTTTCCAGATAAGAGGCTGGAGTTCCCCTGAACTTGTGAAAATATCCCAGAGAAAAAGCGACTGCTCTCAGAGTGCAGCAGGTTCCACTTCTTATCTGGGGGACTGAATTAACTGCTCTGTCTCCAAGACTCCTAACAGCTGAGTGGAGCCCAAAGTTTGGGTAGCAAGGCAAGAACTGCTAGACTGGACAATTTCTGATGCCTGAATTCCATGGTGCCTATGTCTCAGTAAAATGCCCTGCGACAGAACTAAGAATGCATGGCCAAATGCCGGGCTTCAAAGTAGGCAAACAGGTCTCTCTAAGAGAGACAAGGCATCTGGCAGTACCTTGTAGGGCACACATCACTTCCACTACATTGGCGTTCATTTGTCCAAGAATGCAGAGCACTGATTTAGAATGTGACCCAGGCTGGACTAGCCCCCATCAGCTGCGGAGATCACCTTACAGAAACAGCGTGGGCAAACCGTGAACTTGAGGCAGGTGAAGGCCACGTGGTGCACGCAGTGCATTCCAGATGCAAAGCAAGAAGGAAATTCAGTCCCCAAGGGCCAGCTGTGTTTCCCACGTTCTCTAACCTATCTCTTCCTTAGGGTGCCAACACTTGCCTCCCCTTGGCGATCACTTTCCGCGCAGAAAGACGTTCCTAGGGTCAGAGTATGAGAGAACAGCAATGCCTTTTACCCCAATACTACCCTTTACCTGCCCCCTGCCCATGACTTTCCACGGTTGGTCACCCACGTCCCTCTCTCGCAGAGCATTAGTCCCCGTCCCGACTCTTATTAGCTAGGCTGCGGGTGACCTAGCTCAGCCTTGGTTTCCCTCCAGTTGAACTAAGGTTGGCAAGTGCTGCTTCCAGCATCGCAGAGAGGACTCAGTAAGGCAACCAGGGCGAGAGCGTTTTGGAAAGCCAGTTGCTGAGCAGATGGTAAGGGATTACTTCCAAGAGCCAGGGTTACTTTCATTTCAGTCTTGTACATCCCGGGGAGGCCTCAATACCTTTGTTAACGAACATTCTCCTTAGTTAGAAGTCTAGGGTACTGACCAAAGGTCCAGCAACTCAGGCTTCGGCAGGCCACCCCACAACTCCACCAAGGGAACCGAACTGCCTGGGTTGACTGGAGACCCCCTAACAGGAAGTTAACTGATGTATGCTGTACATGTGGACTGAAGGCAATAAAGGAAACCATTTCATAAAGTTATTGTGAGGGCTGAGTTGCAACTTAGCAAGCACAGAGACCTTCACTGCCTTCACTTTTTTTTTTTTCCCATTAGAGAATTGAGGAAGCTTATTGAAGCTTTTTAAAGCTTCACGGAATGAAGGCTGAGGAGTTCTCCTTGTTGCTAGGAGATCGGATCGAGGTCCTGGTGGATAAGTAGGCAGGTGGAATCTGTTCAGGATCTCTACTACCTCTGAAAGACCTCAAAGTTCCAATAAGCAGTTAGCCATTATCTTGCGCGTCGCTCCACCCCACACTGGCTTAAAGAAAGAGCAACCAATTTGCTCTGAAGGTCTGGCCTGGCAGATAGAGGTAGTGCTTCTCTCCCCAAACACACCCCCAATGCCCATTCTAGAGTCCTTTCTTTAGGCCTCCTTGAGGTGCCCGATTTGCAGCTTTGGAAACTCAGGATGGCAAGGCCTGATGCAGGGCGACTTTGTGGAATGAAAAACTTGTGAACGCGACCTTGGTTAACTCAAGCTCAGTGGCCAAAAGTCAGGGACTGCGAAAGATGCGGTTCAGAACAGAAGCTCACAAAGGAGCCGGCCTGTGGTCCGGGTGGGCGGCTCCGGCCCTCCCCAACACAGGGGGTCCTGCGGGGGACCGCAGTGGGGCCTAGCTCGCCAGCCACGTGGTTCTCACTCGATCCCGAGTAGGCTACTTTTTCGCGAGGCCGCTCTCAGGCTCCGCTCCCCGCGCCAGCTCGCGGGCCACACTGGCAACACTGCAGCAGAATCCGCGGACATATAGAGAGTCCCGGGAGCCTGGCAGAGCCGCGTCTTCCAAGCCCACGCTTTTTCTGCGCAGGCGCAGCCCGGAACAGACCAGTTGCTTTAGCCCCCACGCCCCATTCTCAGACTCTGTGAAATCTCCAGCCCTGCCCCGCGACCCGGTCGGTCACAAACTGTCTGATGTGGGTTCCCAGTACCTCCTTCTTCTAAAGGATCCAAGAAGCAGTAATAGTAGAACGCGAAATTTGGGGTTCTGAACAGTTAACATTTGAACTCCGGGTCTGAAGTCTACAAGCTGTGAGTCTTTTGAGTTAATCACTTAACCTCTCCGAACTTGTTTTCTTCCTTTGTAAAGTCCTTAGTAAAGTCCTTTACTCCTGCCATATTCATAGAGTGAATATGGCAGGAGTAATCCTTGATTCAGGTGCCAGCTGGGTGACTTACTCTAGTTAGCATCCCTGGACTGCTTTTCCTGGGAAGCAGAGGGCTTTGTGATGATAGTAGCACTTAAGTCAAATGGTCATTAGAAGACTGAAGTGCTATAAGGCTGGCACAGCATTTGGCCTAGCACATAGGAAGAGCCCAAAGTTAGTCATTTAAAGCCCCTGAATGCCTGCCTTTTATTTTTAAGGCTTATCTCCCCTGTTACACCTTTTCTCTTCTTTAGAGAGAAACAAGATACAAAGGTGCATGTTGGAATTTGAGGTGGTAGTGTTTGAAGAGTTGGGAGGAGGCTCTTCGTGGCAAAAAACTAGGTGACCTTTTGGGAAGCTGTCAGCCTGGCTTTTCCTCTTTAGTTTCTAGGGGCAAGGTAAAAGAATTGGAAAGGCAGGGGAGAGGGGCTTGGAATAGGAAGGTGCTCAGCAAATGTTTCTTGACTGAAAATGGCATTTCAAAAATCAAGGAGACAAGGAGTCTGGAGTGGGAAGGGAAAGCCAGAGTTGGAATTGGCTGCCACCTCTTGGTGCCAAGCTGCCAGTAGGCATGTGGGTCTCTCTGCTAGGAATATCATCTTCTATATGATATTATGGCCTCTGGGAGAGGAAGACCTCAAGGGGACAGGTTCTGAGGGCAGGAGAAGGGGTGTATGGAGAAGAGACACATCTCAGCAGTAGACAGAGCACACCTTCACACAAGAGAAGTGAAACTCAGGTGAGAGGAAAAGATATGGACATATCTTGGGGGAGATTAGGCCTCCAACAGAGGGTTGGATTTTGTATATCCTCCATAAGTTGAAAATTCAATTTGGAGTTCAGCATGTTAGGCTCACAAACATCCCTCAATCAACTCAGAGGTCCGAGCTTTCAGAGTGGGAAGCATGCCTGCTTTACCATATGCCCCATCATTTCCCCTCTCCTTCAGCATCAGTATCCTCCTCTAACTTTTTGAATAGGAGCACTTAACATCCTTTTCCCCCTTTACTGATAATAGGATAATGGATGTCCATGTTTTACCCAGCAACTAACAAGAGGTCCAGGAAAATATGGCCCCAAAGAGCATTTAAGACCATACCCTTCTGCTCTTTTCCTGAGGGCAGAGAATGCTGATGCAACAACCACCGAGGGTGTTCTATAAACTTCTGGCTTTTAGTCTGCTCTACCTTCAGACCCTGACTAAAATGTGCTGTTACAGAAAGAAGAATAAAATAAAAACCAATTCCTCAGCGTTTGACCCCCAGGGCAAAGGAGACACTGGTGAGAAGGAGCCACAACTTGGAAAAAGATTTATTTTTCCTGGCCATAAATCTCATCCCCTTGTTCCTCTGCCCAACGAAGCATGATAAAGTCCTTTTCCATAAAGTATTCAGCATTAGAGCCACAAAGCTCCCCCAATCAGTAGCCATCTGCTTCTACCATAACTGCTGCTCCTGAAGCAGGGAAAGCAGCCGCACAGAAAGGGCACCACTGTTAGGCTGCTGGACAAATGAGGAGCCTGAATAGCTTTGGTTTTCCTTGTGTATCTGTATCTATAGAGACAGGAAAAGAAAGGCCGCATTATATTGATACAACAATTGTAAAACAAAACACGGAAGAGGCATCTAAAGGGCAATATCGCATGCATCAGGGGTCCCCAGATAAAAGGGGCTCTAACAGATTTATAGAAACCTTTAATTGGTTTTCAATTGAAAGCTAAAGAGGCTGGAGGGAAGCTGTGAAGAGTGGCAAAGTGCTCTCCTTCAGCCGTCTGGAGGCATGATCGATTTCATGGAGGGAGAAAAGAGGAACCCCTGAACCGCCCCGCCGTTGGGCTTTCCTCTTTGGCCACTGATGTGATCTTAGAAACTCTCAAACACATTCTCCCGCTTTTCCTCCTTTCCTTCCTCCCTCTTTCAAACCAGTAGGCAAGTAGAGGAGGGAGAAAATGAAAAAAAAAAAAATCTAACGTACTAGATCTGGGGGTGGAAAAGGATCCAAATCCTTGTAAAGGCCCACACTTTAAACCTAATCATCCACTTAGTATAGCGAGGCCTTTTTGAAAATAAACAAGAGTACCCTCAACCCCGCCCCAATTCTTTCTATTTCTAGACTCAAACCGGAAAAGCTAAGCATCCCAACAATCCTTTCACTTGGTGCGTAGAGAGGTCTTTACTTGCGCCTGCGGGATTTACTTCAGTGCGGGTATCTCCACTGAGTTCGCAAGGCGCGCCTCATCCTTCACCCCTCCCTGTGCTGAGGCCGGCGGGGGACCCCACCCCCACCCTCACCCCAGCCTGGTAGGGCAGTGCCCACCCACGCGGCAGCTCTGGGCGTCGGTCCGTCTGTTCCTAAAGCTAATTTATTGGCCCGACCCTCCATTATCATTTTCAGCTTCTTAATTAATCAAAGATAAAAGGCAATGGCGCAAATTACGATTATGAGGGAACTGGAAGACGGTTTTGAATAAAATGGGAGAAGCGAAATATGATTAATTGAATGACATGATAGTGAAATCTCAAGTGCGAGGAACAGGTCGGGGAGGGGGGATGGCAAACTGATTCATGCGTGTTGCGGGTGAGCCTCTCCTCTGGCCCTAACATCATCCCAAAGGGACAGCCCCCCAAATGAGATCTTTTGGGTCCTAAGCCTTAGAAAGGGCGAAAACGCCTTTCCAACTCTGCTCTCAACCCCACTCAGCGTCTAACGCCCAGCTAACCCTCTCCCCACCTCTGCAGTAGCGCCGGCGACTCCATCGAATTTGACTAAGGAGCCGGAGCCACGGAGTGCCCTACTCTATTATTAAGCGAATGTACCAGGAGTTTCCTCACTGTTTCCTCCTGTCCTGTCACTTTTCTCCAACAGAGGCTAACTCAGTGAAATTGCAGGAAAACAAGTCTAGTAGGTCAATGATCGCATTGACTCCTGTAAGGGATTAATAGAGCCCTTGTCTGATGCTGCTTTCCAGAATTACGTTTGGGATTAAAAGGCAGACACCGCACAGGCACACATTTTGCATCCTCTGGTCCTTGTGATTAATGTTTCCGAGGGGATTTATTCTGGGAGCTTATGGAACATGCTCGCGGGGGTCTAAAGCCCCATAGCCGAGTAGCAGGAGCCTGTCTGAGGGCACAGTGGGCACGCGACAGCACGCTGGCAGATTAGAGGCAACGTCAGATGCGTGCGGAGATATGACGAACCTTTTAGTGTCCCTATCTTCATCTTCCCAACCCCCGAGAGTAGCTGCTTCGGAGGAAAACTAAGGACTATAGGGGAGGCTGACCTTAGGTCTTTTGGGATGTGTATAAAGGGATACCCTCGTGTGTCCTGACTTTTTGATGGGAGGTAAGGGCTGAGTACCAAGCTATTGAACTTCATGCATCCGTCCAATAAGGGGACCATAGATCTGTATTTTGGGGGAAGCGCCGCACCCCAACATATCACTCACTCACATAGCAAACTGTTGCTGTCTCCTATCCCCGGAACAGAATGACGTCAACCTCCAATAGTTGCCTTCCTCAGGGCTGCTTTCGGGGCCACCCAAGGAGGCACCTAGGGAGAGGAGCCTGAAACACATGACCTCCACGCCACCTTTTAGGGGCACATAAAACCTCACAGAATCGGTGTAGGAACCCAAGGGGGAAAATCGGAGAGAAGGAAGAAAACCAGGAAAGAATGAGGGTAGGGAGAGGAGAGACAGAGAGAGAGGGGGGGGGAGACTCTGAAAAAGAGCGAGCGCGTGCAAGGGTGGTAGTGCGAGCAGTGAGTTGAGAGGAGAAAAATGGACAAGTAGGTGGTCGCGGCTGGCGGTAGGTATTACTGCTCTCAGGCAGAAGGGGGCACCTTTCCGATCGAAGCAGCCTTCAGCTGGGCTGGGCGGGACGCCCAGGCAGAGGCTGCCTCCTGCCCGGGTTTTGGGGTGCTGGGCGCCCCCTTCTGGCGTCCGCGAAGCCGCTCCCTGCTGTCGCGTGGGTGCTCTGGTCCAGCAATTGACCCTGGCTCGGTGGTTGGGACGGAAAAAAAGGACAAGGGAGACAGTGGGGGTAGGTGGGGGTGGTCCCCAGTGTCAGGCTTCCCCATCTATTCCCTGAGCAGCTCTCTGCGGCTTCCTTACCTGCGGCCGCAGGGCTCCTTTACCCAGAGCGAAGCTCCCGCGGGTCCCTCGGCATCCCCGCGCCACCCGCGGCCACACTCCCGCCCCAATGAGAGCTTGCGGAGGAGCCCGTCTGCCTTGCAAAGTGGTCCGGCTCTCCGCCGCAGCAGCTGGGAGGGAGGGAGCGACCGCCGGCTGCTGCCGGGCGGCGTCTGGGGGCCCGCGAGCCGAGCGCAAGAAGCCGCCATCTGGAGCCTCAGCAGCGGGCGGGGGTGGGAGTGCCAGGGAAGGGGCCTGGCGACAGGGCCCCCTCGTGCGAGGGGCAGGGGTGTGCGCGTGGGAGCGGCGCCTATCGGCTAGATTGATGGCGTGTGTGTCGTGGGAGGGCGTGTGTGAGGGGTATGGCCCCTGCGGAGGAGGAGCAGAGGCCTGCCTCTCGCAAGGGCCCGGGATTCCGGGCAGCCCCAACTCCCAGGTTGAGAGAAAGTGCGGGAGACCAGCTTGGCATCCTCCCCCGGGTCCCCAGCTAATCTCTTTCTGGGATTGGCGATCTCGCTGGGAGAGAAGAACCGAAACACTCCTACAGGCGCACGCACGCCTGGTCGGTCAGAAGCGGTTTTCTCATTTCCCTTTCCTCCTACCTTGTCCATCCCACTCCAGGAAACATTCCTTTCCAAACGGCAAGGATTTTTGGACACCTCCGACCTAAGAAAACTACTTCAGCCAGGACGTGGGACAGGCACTGGCAGAATATCACCCTTGGGGATAAATACTGTCCAGTTTCCAGTGGACTGTGGAAAAAGAAAGAACAAGGGATGCTGCCAAAGGGAGTGGGGTGTGGGCAGCAGGTTAGCTTGGAAGAAGAGAGTAATGGGTGGGGTGGGGGGAGATGGGAAGCGTGGTATTTATCTACCCCTCTTTCAATTTCAGGTCCTTTCAGTGTTTTTTTATTTCTTTAACCTTTTAAACAAATTCCCTTTCTTGAGTCTGGGTGGGGGTGGGGAGCAAACTCGTGGAAGAGTGTGGAGGAGGCTAGGGGAGATGTTTTGGGAACTCAGGGACTCCAGTTTCTATGCTATCTCTGAGGGAGACATCCTCCTAGGTGTAAGGAGAGCTGGTTGGGCATATGGACAGTGGCGAGTGATCTGAGTACAATGAATGAATGAATGAATGAATGAATGAATGAATGAATGAATGAATGAATGAATCACAGAAGAGGCAGACTCACTCTTACCCGAAGGCATTAAGAGACACCCCCACCCCCAGCTGTCTCATGTCCGGCAGAATGGCATTATGTAAAAGATCTGGCATGTCACCCAGTGGCACATCTGGTAGGTGTAGATGGCATTCATTAGCACGGGGCTTCTACTCTGCGGCATGCCAAAGCTCTGACAGAGATGCCCGCTGCCAATCATTTATTCGCTGCCAATCCCAGAGCGCGGTCGGGCGGGATGGCTCCCTTCCACTCTGGCACCCGGACTGGAGGAAACAATGTGTTGAGATATGAAAAAGATGAAAGCGGAGAGTTGAGGATGCGAAGCACCCAACAGATGTATCCCGTGAGGAGATAACGGAGTGAAGAGTCATTTAGCAAGAAAGCATATGCAGGATCTCAGGAGGGAGGCTTGGGCAGGGGTCTGCCTTCCTAGGAAGGCAGGGGAACCCTTTAGATATCTGGAAGTTGAGGTTGTTTCTCTGAAAGCCAACTCCAAACCCCCTAGCTGCAAGACTTTCTTCTCTCTCTCCTTGGTTTGTCTCTTATACCTATGTCTATCAAGAAACCTACAGGACTCTGAAAAGATCAACATCTCTACCGTTGTCATAGCTTTCGGATGACCAAGAAAAAAAGTGCTTACCTGTTTTGTACACTTTGCAGCATTCTCTTGGACATGTGATTTATGTTTGGAGAGGAGGAAGCTGGGTTATCTTTACTGTACTTGAAAAGACAAACACCTTTTTTTCAGTTCCTAGCCATTCAAAGGTGATGAAGATGAAAAATCAAACAAGCACATCGTTTAAAAGGCAAAGGAAAATTAAATTCAGAATCTAGGCTAGAGATTATCTTAGACTGAGTGGTGATTAAACTGGCATTGGGTGTATTGCTTTCCTTTTGCCATACACGTTATATATATATTCTTTTTATCCATTCAATATTTAATAAAACAACAGCAACAAAACTCACTTTTTAGAATTTGTGGGACTCAATATGTAAGTTGAATATAAGCTAACAGCTTTTTATTTTACATATTTAGTAACTTTGAATGCATTGGCTCATGGTCATAATATAACTGTATAGGCATGTGTGTATTATATATAAAATTATGCATTTTAAATATATGCTATAAAATATTTGGGGCATATGCTACAAATTTATTCATAATTTACCTGAAATTCAAATTTAACTAGCATCCTATATATTTGTTTGCTACCTAGTAACCTTTACATTTATCTAACAACCTTAAATATGTCACAGTAAAACTGCAACAATTCCAGGCATCACATCATAGTTTTAAGCATAAAGAAAGGGATGGGACAAAGAGCTGTGATTGTTGTCTTTTATCAGCAAAAGGGATACTTTCACTTTTCATTAGCAGGACCTGAGTCATCTGGCCATTGCTACCTCCAAAGTAGCCTTGAAAGTGTAAAAGGATAGGGAGGACTGGGAAGGGTTGTTGGGTTACAACCAATGGTATTTATTAAAAAAAAATCTGAAGGGAAAGGAAAATTAATGTTTGCACAAAACAAGAGTTGATTATCAAGCTTTATCACAAGTAAAAGTCTCAAAGTTATATTTTTTTTTAAATTAAGTCTTGTGTTTTTCCTTAGAGTCATTAAAGGGATACTGTACTTGAATTTATTTTTAAAAAATATTTAGTTTTCAGTTTTAGGTGGACACAATATTTTACATTTATGTGGTTCTGAGGAAGGAATCCAGTACCTCATGCATGCTAGGCGAGCACTCTACCACAGAGTCACAATCCCAGCCCCTTGAATTTAGATATCATGAATTTCATCAAATTGTATTTCAAAATAAGGACTTGGGCTTAATCAATACATTCATTAAAAAGCTAAAAAAATTGACTTATATTTAAATAAAATTAATCTTTGCAATAAAATATAAATAAAAGTTGTTAGAAAAAACTTAAATGAAATAAAGAAAACAGCTCTTGTTAGAAATACTTGAGTTCAATTCCAATTCTGTGTCACTAGGTATGTGACTTTGGGTATTTTACTTGTTTAAAACATTTTCTTCATCTGTAAAATGGGTTAATAATGTTAATGCCTTGAAGAGTTATCAGGGGTTTTCAAGATTATGACACACATTGAAGATTTTAAAATATGCTAACTCCCAGAAACCCAGCAGGAAACAGAATTCAGCCCTCCTGCAGCATACTGATACTACTTAACAAAGCATAGCAGGGTTATGAGAACAAATGAGATGATGAGTGCTATTGTGTGTCCCATCTGAAACTCCTGTAGAAATTTAATTCCTAATCTAATGGTATTGAGAGGTGATAGGACCTTTTCAGAGTTGTTAGATAAGTGCTGGTGGGGTGGGAGGGTGGAGCACCACATTCATGAATGCTACTTTAGGGGAATGGGCTCAAACTCACCAGAGTGTATTGTTATACAGCAAGCCAAGCCTCTCTTGCTTCCTCTCCTGTTCAGACCTGCTTGCCTTTCTGTTTTTCCACCATGTTACAACGCAGTTTCAGGCCCTAGCCAGGTGTCAGCACCCTGCTCTTGGATTTTCTCAGCCTTAAGAACCAGGAGCTAAAACAAACCTCTTTCCCTTAAAAATTTACCAGTATCAAGTACTTTGTTATATAGAAAATGGACTAGTGAGGCACACAGAAACTAGCATAGCAAGAAGCTCTTAATATAGTAAATAGTATTTCTAGAGTTTGGTAAGGACCAGGACCTTGAAGGAGGACCCCAATGAGAATATATAGAGACACAGCTACTGTCAGAGAGGGCGTGATATAGCAAGGAAGGATCAGGGAATACCTTTATTTTTTCACATGCTCCAATTTCATGTTAATGTTGGAAACAACTGTCCAAACCCAACTAGAGACTGAATAGCAAGGTGATGGGGCATGCAGTGAATCTGCATGGGTCAGCTTCTGGGGAAGACAGAGCCTGGCACAGGAGGATGGAGAATGGATCTTGAACAGACAAATGAAGACTAACCAGCACAATACTGTTATTATCCACAAATAAAATTCTCTGAAAATGCCTCCTACAAATGTCTCTTTTGTATACAATTCCAATTGGAAGTTCAAATTTAATGGGCTTTGTAAACTTAAGCATCCAAAGTTTTAAAGAGCCTTTAGGCTGAACTGTTTCCTATTAGCTCTCATGAAAGATTTCCAGAAGTCTTAGAAGGCTTCCTAAGCCAAGACCTGGAAGAATTTTGGGGCACGCCCTTATTGACTTCCTTCCTTTGGGCATACCCAGGTCTCTCATCATTTTGTGGCTTCCTGTGTCACAACCAGTCTTGCTGTGCATGGTTAGTCACTTGCTGACTGTTATTTTCAAGGAAGCTAGACAGGCTTCAGCAAAAGATGACTACCTCATAACAAATCAAGCCCACAGCAACAGGAAGTCCTGCCAATGGCTTCCCTTAAGTTCAGAGCCTGTACGGGCTTCATATTGTAAAAACTTTTCCTCTTTTCAACTTTGCCATTCCTATCTTTTCCTCTTGAATCTAAAACTAATCCAAAGGCAAAATGATGGAAAAGGGCGGTGGTGGACAAGCATGTTCTCTTTCCTGAAACCTTAGATAAAAATTATAGCCGGTTGTGGCTGGGGTTATGGCTCTGCTCCATGGTAGAGCACTCACCTGGCACATGTGGGGCATTGGGTTTGATCCTCGGCACCACATAAAAATAAAGGTATAAAAAATTATAGCCAATGTCAGAGTCTTGAATGTTCGCTCTAGATGTTAGTGCAAAAGCCTCATTTCTGAATCTTCTAGGAACTTGGAGTTGAAAATGGTTGGCAGTCATTGTTTTAATGGAAACAAACAAAGGAAGTACAGAAAAATTAATCACAAGAAGTGAAAAGCAAAGATTTGTTCTCCTGGAAATTCCACATGTAATTAATGAATATAAGTGTCTTTTGAAAAGACAGCGTGGGGAGCACTAGTGAAAATCACATCCAAAAGAGCAACCATTGAAATCACCTGGAAATAAATGGTCCTAAGGGCAAATGGCAAATGCAGAAGTATCTGTTCAAGGAAATCTATGAACATTTGATAAGAAAGGGGAGTCTGTGGTATTTGCACCAAGACCACTCCCTTCCTTGCTATTCCTAGGTCAGCAAGGCCAATACTATACCCCAGATCGCTGCTGCCAAGATCTCAGCTATTTTTGTCCCTTGGTCTTAGCTAGAGAGCTTTCAGTGCAGAAGGAGCAGGGCTTCAGCTTTTCTCATCCTGCCCCCAGCTGCCTGGATAGACAAGAATGAGAGAATCTGTCGTGGGTGTGCAATAGTGAGAATACTGGGTCCCTGATATCCCTTCCCTTGGCCCTTGAAATGAAGATTCCATGAGAGGAGA